TGTCGTTGTATGCACATACATGATTAGTACACATTATATCAGTACAGTACAGAACCCGTTATCCGGAAATCAAAAAACCGGAACGAAATTCGATAAATTTTCCCGCCATTTAAAAAAAAAAATTGTTTTTCTTCATAAGATTTTAGGATTTTTCTTTCTTTTTTGAAAGATGTTCACCTTACCATCATTTTGGAAATAATCGTTAGTGTATTACTTCATCGTTTTTTCTTATTTTCAAGATTATTTCCAAAATTTTTTTTTTTTAGTTGGTTTTAACAATAAAAAAACGGCTTTTTGTAGCGATACCGAAAACCGGATAATCGGTTCCCTACTGTACATGCCCAAGCACACGTGAGTACATTGTATATACAGAAGTAGAATGAATAAATTTTACTTCTACTTATGTACGTTGATACATGTATTTTTTATTTTCTATTTTTTGCTTAGTATGTTTTATTTTGCATTTTTTGGTTAATTTGTTCTATTTTCTTTTTTAAAAAAAATACCCAAAAAATGCTTTTTTAATGCTCTTTACACTAATTAATGAATTTTTTTTTGCTTTGGCTATATTAATACAATATTAGAAAGCTCTCCTTTTAGCAGATATAATCTTTTGAGCTTTTGACAAGATTATATCTTTTCCTTATTTTGCTTTTCAGCTTTTTACTTTTTTTTTTTTAAATTTTAAATTTATTTTTTATTTTCTTTACTAATATTTTATTTATTAATAAATTTTTCTTCTTCTCTCTTATTTCTTCCTTGTATTTCTTTTCCTTGCACATGTGTGTGTGTCTATATATTCAATTTGTGTATTTATTAGTTCAAATTCCTGAAGTTTATAAGTGAGACCTTGTATTTAGTAGATTATTACTATTTCACTNCGATCGGGACCATCGCTATTCCGGATAACTGATTTTTCCGGTTTTCTGAATCGCTACAAAAAGCCGTTTTTCTTATCGTTACTTACTTACTTACTTGATGAAGTAATACACTAATGATTATTTCCAAAATGATGGTAAGGTAATCTTTCAAAAAAGAAAGAAAAATCCGAAAATCTTATGAGGAAAAAAAAAATTATTTTTTTTAAATGGCGAGAAAATTTATCGAATTTCGTTCCGGTTTTTTGGTTTTCTGATTTACGAATAACGGGTTCTGTACTGTATATATAAGTTCAAATTGTAGAATAAAACAAAGAAAAATTATAGACATATGAAAAAAAGGGGGGAAATAATAAGTAAAAAAAATGACAAACAACAGTTAAAAAAAAAGAAAATGAAATGAAACTTATTGTTTTTCTTAACTTTCTTCGTGTTTTCTTGTATTTATTTATTATATATATATATATATAGGTTCAAAATAATCAAATGTATAAAAATTACAGAACTATGAAAAAGCGAAAAAGAAAAGTAATAAAATCCGGAGAAGAAAAAAAAATTGTATCAATATAGCCAAAGCAAAATATATCAATACAATAGTGTGAGGAGCACTCAAAAAATTTTACAACAAATATAATGGAACTCAATAAGTAAAAATATCACGTAAAAATAAAATTTAAAGAATAAAAATCAGAAGAAAGCATAAAATCTGTAAAGTGACTCGCAAATTCAAATGAGCTTAAATAAACGGAAATTTTTCAAGAATAATTTAAAATAGCACAATTGAGAAGCACAAATTCGGGTAAAAGCGTAAATAGAGGGGTTTTGTTTTAAATTGCGTTCTTACTGTAGTACCTACTGAAGTGCGTTTGATTTGTTAGTACTAATTTTGTTAATAGTATGGTCCCGAAAATGGGTGTGCGCAAGGTTATATTATACTGGATAATTTAAAGTAATTGACAGTTAATAATTTTAGAAAATTAACTTTTATTTAAGAAAAAAATAAAATGGAAAAGCGAAAGAAACATGAATTTGCACCAGGGTTCGTGATTTTTTTTTTTTTAAAAATTGAAAAAAATCAAAAAATTTTTATTTAAATCGGATTTTTTTTATTTAAATCCGAATTTTTTTATTCAAATACAAATTGCTTATTCAAATTAATTTTTTACTAAAAAAACTTTGTAAATGTTTAATCAAAATTAAGTTAATATTAAAACTACATTATAATAATATTTTAGAAGCTCTAACTACCTGAAACAATTTTTCATTATAATACATAACTTTAAATGCATAACAACTATTTTGAAACAAATGCATGATTCAAATTTAAAGACTAGATGAAATGGAGAATTTAAAGAATACCATTTAAACAAAGTTTCAATTACCAAACCCTAATTTTAATTTAAAATTGTGATTTCTTTTTTTTTCCTCTTGATTTTTAGAATGACAAAATAAATATAACAGATTGTGTTTATAAATGTAGTCATTCATCAAAAAATAAATAAATATTTAATCTATATTTTTTTATATTAAAATATTTATTTTTAATCCTGTATCAAAATAGATAAGTTAAACTAAAAAAAAAAATTTATTTTTAAATTTTTTCATAGAAAATCTGATATTGTTAAAGATACTGTAAACATATTGAGGAGAAAAAAAATACTTAAATGTTTACTTTAATCTGTACTTTCAATCTCAAAAATCAAAAGATTTTTAAAAATGTAATTTCAAATTTGTTGGAATTTAACACATACCAAGAAAAAAAGTAATTTCGTTAACTAAAATTAATTAATGCAGCATTTTATTTAAAATAAATTTTGAAACTAGGAAAGGAAATAATAAAAGTAGGGGAGAGTCGGTTAGCCCTGCCAAGAAGGTACCCTCGCCCACTGTCAATTTCATATGTCAGAATATTTTTTCAAGTCAATGGGCCATCGGACATTAATTGTTATATTAAAAAAATATTATTTTCAAAGTTTCACATATTTATGATAAAATTTGTGGTACACTCAAGTATTTGATATACTCAAGTATGTGTGATAAAAATGATAAATTAGGTTTATCTATTGTGAATAAATTGGTCATTTTCATTTACACCTGAAAAAACAGTCAAAAAACATAATTTTTGTAACTGGGCAGGGCTACCCGACACATTTTGAAAAGAACTGAAAAACATGTTTTTTTTTAAATTTCTGTTTTTTTAAGTTGAACTATTCTTTTTCTGGTTTATTCTTTTTGCATTATTTAATTAGATGATAAAACAATAGAAACATACAAAAATATTGATTATTACTCAATATTATACAGAAATATAACCAATACTCCTTAAGTGGGCGGGGCTACCCGACTCTCCCCTATCAATAATTTAAAACACTACTTTTTAACTTTTTAAGTAAATATATGTATATAAAAAAATCAGGTGATTTAAATCAATGATTTTTTTAAAAAAATAATTTTATTTAGATCAAGCTGATTTTCCGCAGGGCTTTTAAAATTTCGATATTTTAGCACGATATTATTACGAATCGCAAGCAAAGAATCACTCATTTAGATAACCATTTTTGACGTGGTTTATTTGTGCGGATTTCATTGCAAATCCAATTATTTTTCTATCATTATTTTGGTAATTATTACTACACATTTCTACAAGTCCCGACTTTTTTTATTCGCTGTTGCGATACTTTTAATTTCGAATCCCGCAACTAAATACATCACTCTTTGACGGGCTTTATTTTCCCATGATTTAAAAAAAATTCTGATATTTTTTATTCTATAGTTTAACCGAACGCGAGTTTAAATCGCGCATTAAAATAATTACTTTTTAACTGCTCTATCTGTGCCAATTTTAACATAAATATAAGAGGTTTTTTGGACGTGTTTTTTCATTCTTTCCTGTAATTGACGCATTTTCACTTGTGATTTTGAATATCCTGATATTTTAACACAATATTACAACTCGTGAAATTCAAATCTGTTTGAAATTTTTTTTATAACTTCAAGTAATTGTGTATCTTAGCAAAATCAACACCTTTCCGAAAAGGATAAATGAAAAATCATACGTTTTTATTCTTCTCACAATTTGAAAAGCACACATCACATTTTCTATTTATGTAATTTAAAAGTCGCACTCAGCTATGTGTATTCAAACAATTTTAAAATAACACATCGCTATTTGTTGATGTAAAAATCAGAAAAGGAAGAACACCGCTTGGGTGATTCAAAACTGATAGTTATTTTCCCTAAGTTTAATACTGCCCAGAACAGCAACTTCTGTCGAAAGACTGTTTTCTAGAGTGAATTTGGCCTGTTCAAAATTACAGAGCAGTCTTTGAACAAAATCAATAGATTTTTCATTTAATGGCTTGAAAAAGCTATCACATGATCAGGTAGATAAAATTATCACAATAATTAAAAATTTTGCAAATTGCAGGATGGATACCCTTAAGAAATTTTTTTAACTATTTTCTACCTACTTCAACTATTTCATGTCATTTATGATTATATGCTGGGAAATAATTTGTATATCATTAAATCATTGAAAGAATTAACTCCTGTCCATCTTTTGAAAACATTTACTATTTAAACAAAAACGTAACAGACAAGATTAAGCGAAACATTAATGTTTTGAAAATGAACAGAACATTTAAACCTCTTCACTCGGAAGAGATCATTCAACTTCTGCTTACATATAATATAAACTACAGTTATGTCACTGTTACGGTTAAATTTTAAAGTCTAATAGTTTATCGACAGATATTGCATACGTAAAAAAGGCTTTATTTTATGTATGTAAATTTTTTTTCTTCCAGTTTTAAGCAGTTTGACATGTTACTGGGGCCCAAAACATTTCTGCACCCAGGGGCCCTGCTTGATGTTTAGACGGTCCTGTAAATATGTATTATTAACATTATAAAAATAACAATTGTGACATAATAAGACAATACAAATGAGAAAACAAAAGATGCAGGAATTATAGATCAAGCTTTAAATTTGTTATATTCTACCTCTTAATCTGTTCATGAGTTATTAATTTTTTTCTAATTAAATTACTTGTAATATTGATAAGGTTAGATTAAATGAATTACACTATTCATAGTTTATTAAATCATTTTTACATCTTTTCAGGTTAAACTATGGATCCTGATGAAAACTTTAAAGGAAGTGAAGTAAAAGGATGTTCAAATATTGATGAGCAAGAAAATAATGATGAAGGGCAAGGTGAAAACCCCCCAGAAGAGATGAACGTTGAAGCTATAGATGACACTAATTATGTTACCATAGCAGTGCGCGATGAGGATGATCAAAATGGAGAGCAAGTTTATGGTTATCTGGACACTAGAAGTGCCACACTATTTGTACAGAATCATCTTGAAGGTGGCTCTCCACAACTCTTTCTAACGCAAAATGAAGATGGCAATGAAATTTTTGTTGTCATGAACGAAAACGGTCACGCAGTGCTACAGCAAGATGTAGTTTTAGAATCAGTACAGAACCTAAGGAGTGGTGATGGCACTGGAATAAATTGTCCAGCTCTGGAGTTGGGTGAATGTTCTGGTGAAAATTCAGGTGCTACTGGTGTAGATATTAAATCAAAAACTGATTGTGCTGGGGAAGATAGTGACATTTCTGAAACTGCTGTATGGGCTATAAGAGACAATGTTCCTGGACAAGAGAACGCAACCGAAATGGTCTTCATCCCCGCACAATCAATTATTTCATCTCAACTCATAGCTGATAATGACCCTAATCATCGATTGCATTTATCTGCTAATGAACCTTCTACTAGTAACAATGCACTTCTGTTGAACCAACCTCCAGACGTTGCCAGGAGTATTTCGGAAAATTCGGTTATCGTGTCGAAGCATTTTTCCGATGTCGAATCCCCTTCCGAAATAGAAGAAAGAGGGAATGAGGAAGATTTAGATAATCCTCTATCTGTTGATGACGATACTAATGATCGCCTTACACAAGATTCAGACCAAACCGGCTCTCAATATTCATTATATTCTGGTTCCCGAACTATCGACAATGCGGTATCTGTTATACATTCTCCTTCTTCTTACAATAGCTTAAACGGCAATGGTTTCACCTCTCTAAAAGGTAGGGAATTTGATGACAGAAAAGAATTTAATCATGAAGAGGCATCTCATCTTGAAGATTCTTATACTGGAAATAGCTCCCCGGAGCAGTCTTTCCATTTGACATCTGATAATAAATTATTAATTGATGAGGATAGTAATACTATGTCTTCTCAGACGAGTGGCCTTGATCTTAGCAAAGATTCTAAAGTACGGTATTCTATACCTGCCTGTGATACTCAATTTCCTAATGAAGAACTTAAAAGTGTTCCAGAATCACCAGTGCCAAAAGATAGAATAGAAGAAGATTCAGATGTTTCCATTGACCGTATTTCTAGCAAAGCGTCATCTGTTATTGTTGCAATGGATGAAGAATCTAAAGGAAGAATTGATGGGCATGATGACGACTCGACATTGGAGAAAGACGATTCATCGAATGCAGAAACCACAGAAATAGATGTTTCTGAGAAAGAAATGCCGTTGAATGAAGTATTAGCGCATCCTGGTGAAAAAGAATCTGACAAGGATGAATGTGCAATTGAAATTGATGCTTTATCAGAAGACATCTTTGAGTCAAATTCTGAAGAAATGCAGAGGTGCTCTGAAGAGGCTAATTTTCTTTATAATAATGATCCTTTGGGGGAAAAGAAGGCTTATAATCGCCGCAAAAGGGATATTCCTTCTGCCTTCAACCAAGAGTGTTTACTCCCCAAAAAGAAATTTAGAATACAGCCGGATATCGAGCAGGAGATAGCTGAAATTTGTGAATCTGGAAATAATTTTCATAACATCGTAAAGGGAATGGATTATGATTCTCTGCCCTCTAAAAAAAGTCAAAACGAAAGTAACGGAGGATTATCCAGCGTGCAAGCGAATGTAGAATCGAACATTGTGTTGAAGGAAATAGATTGTAATTATCTCTCTGTGAAAAGATTCCAAAATAAAATGGAAAATGGCAATGAACAAGATGAATTATCTGATTCACTTGCAGAGAATGCAGAGTCAGGCATTATGTTAAAGGAAATTGATGAAGAGCATATTTCTGTTAAAAATTGCCAAAATGAGATTGAAAATGGAGATGTTTCTAATGAAGTATCTGAAGAACTGAACACAGAATTGAGTGAAAGTTCAGATACTGGTGATAGCACTGAATCACCTTCTGTGAGAAAATCAAGTGCATCTGAAGTTCCTTCTGAACAAAATAGTGTTACACAAGCTCCGCAAGTTAGCTCCCTGCAGCAAAACGGCGAAGAAGATGAAATAGAAAAATCTGTTGCTCAAAGTAATCATGAGAAGGTGACCAGCACTCCAATTAATGAAAAAAGGAACCTGGATGTTTTTGACTTGTCCCCCGACGACACCTTCGTCCTTCCCCCAAAAATTACTTACACTTCTAGAAAGAGAAAAAGAAGTCCCTCTCCTGAAGAAGAAGAACTCAATGTCCAAAAAATCAATAGTGAACTCTTCTCCAACAGTGGAGAAATTAGTGACAGCTCTAAAGATCTTAGTGTCGTAAATAGTGACACTTCTGAGATAGCAAATGAGAGTGAGCAAAGCGTGCAAATTGACGATGATGATTTTATATCTCCTGTAAATATTAAAATTTCTGCGAATTATACTCGTAAAAGAAAAAGCATGCCCCCTGTGGTGCGGGAAGTGAGGACTCGCAGTTTAAGACCTCGTCATTCTGCTGCCAGTGATTCTTCAGAGATCGATTCTCAAACCGAATCTGTGTCGGCTGTGGGTAAGACAAACAGTGAAAATGAAGCTAACAATGAAGAGCTTAACTGGGGTAATATATTATTGAGCACTTCATTTCGAACGCCATCAGATTCTAATAGTTCGTTAGACCCTAAATCTCCTAAAAGGAAATCTAGTGCTAAACTTAAGAAGGAAAGGGTGACCAAATCTCCAGCATCAAAAAGTGAAGAACAGTGGGAAAAATTTATAAAAAGCTCTTCCCCTAAGAAGGTAAAAAGCATAGAAAAGAAGATCAGGGATAAGGTAAAGAAGCAAGTTCGAACTTTGTGTAATTCTGAAAAGTTTATCTCCCAGTTCGATTTGTCTTCGACGACCGAGATTCCTAGTCCTCCTCCCAGAAAGAGAAAAAGTTCTAAAAAGGAGCCGGTAAATAACAATAAAAAGCAGACACCGGTGAGTTCCTCTAAATCACGGCGAAGCGCCCGAGTGGATGAGAATGAAGAGCTCTCTTCTAAAGTTTCAGGAACTAAGTTCGTGAATGATAAACAACCTACCACAATAATGACAGCTTCTAATAACAGCCCTAACACCAGTAATAGTAGCATAAATTCAAGGGTGAGTTCAGGTGAAATAAAAGATTTCAACTGTTCTAACTGCTCTTTCTCTACGAATAAAGTGAACAATCTGATAATGCACATGAAATTTTGTGCTCATAAAGAGCCACCCGGTCGATTGTTGGATTATAGCGTCAATGATATGGATCGCCGACAAAGGATTCGAGGGGAAGATGGGATAGAAAATTGTCGAGACAGGAGCAAGAGTTACTTATCGAATGGGTCTGTTGATTAATAATGCTGTTTACTTGCTGGTCTGAAAAGTTTAATTGAGGAACATGATAAGGAGGCACTGGAGAAACTTTTCATCTCAAAGTTTATCTCCATTAGTGTATTAAAGTTTAAGAGATAAGTGAGTTTAGCTAAACCATAAAGTTTTAAATGCTGAAAAAAAATGTTTTCAACCTTGTAGCGGAATTTTTTCGGGCTGTCAGCAACTAAACTCTCTAGCCAAAATATCTTTCTGCAAGATACTTTTAAATATAACAAACATATATGTTACTAATTTAAAATAACAAATACGCTGTGTTTTAAAAAAATAACTGTATAATTGTTTTTAATTGAACATGTAATAATTCTTTATTTTAATATTATGGATGATATTCTCGCATTGTACAAATTATTTGTGTGTTTTTTCCAAATTATTAAATTTTGTAAATAATCATCACAGTAAAAAAAGTAATTAAAAATCATGAATTCCGTAGTAGTAATAACCGTAAAAAATATCGACGATGAAATCGTGCAAATCGGACTCCTCAAACGAGTGTTTCATTTCGATATTAGGTTGTTGTAATAAATAATATTGTATTAAAAGATTATCGGATTTAAAAACTATGCATTAGCAATAGGAATAACAGCCAAAAATCCGATAGCATTATAGCCTTTAAAAGGAAATACTCAAATGCCGGATTCGAATTTTCCATATTGGTTTGAAATATATCGGGATATTTAAAAACCACGGGAGAATCGATATCAATAACTGCCGAAATGCAATCAAAACATTGCGTTGATTTACAATGCTATCGGCGTAAATTGAGTGTGTCAAAAAGTGAGATTCAAAACGCATGATTCAAATATGTGTACATTTTTGTAGAAGAGAATTTTTGTGAATTTTTTTACTTTTCAAAAGAAAAATCTTTCTGCTTTTCAAAATGCAAACAAGTTATGGCAAGCAGTGGGGAAGTAATCCTGCAATAATTTCTTTGCACTTTGATATTTTGAAAACATTTTTTCAGCATTTGACACTTCATAGTTCCCCTGAACTCACTTTTGTCTGAACTTTTAACTTTCTCACTTCACAAATTCTTCATTTAAGCTTTTCGACTGTCATGCTTTTACAAATTAAATAATTGTGAATTTATCTTTTTCAAACTTGCGTTTACTTCTTACAGAGACAGTAATGAGGCATCTTGTTCCACTGCTCGAGAACATGTCCTAGAGGATTCTGATGATGACACTGATAAAGATGATCGGCTACAAAAAAGTAAGTGTATTTGGCACACATATTTTTACAATGGTGCATAAAAGTTTATAATATACATTAAATTTCTATTGGGTTAGTAAGAAAATAATTTCAGTTTTTATACTGTGAAATAAAGTTCAAATTTTTTTTACACAAAAATCAAACTTCTATTTTATGGTCTTTTGCCTTCTTTCTGTTAGCTTTATGATCTTTGGCTCATGAAACGGTCCTTATGAACAGAAAACTCTACCAAGTGTATTCAATGTCTTCTTTATTCAAGAAAGTTTAACCATTTGTAAATGTTTTTACTTAGTTTCAAAAAAGTTTTGTAAATCAATGATGGTGCAAGTTTGGGGCTATGTGGAGTAATCATGCTCCACCATGATAATTCAAGATTATTTTGTAAACTTTGAAGTAAATGTTAATGGAATAATGAGAGTCACCAAGCTCCAGTGATTTCATAAGTGTTGCTCAAAATGTGAGAAATCATTGTGATATGTGTGTCTCCCATTTAACCCTGATCTTGTACTATCATTTATTTTGAAACTTTCAAAACTTTTTAACCTCAAATCACACTTTGTATAGTTTTTTTTTTCTGATTAAGACCAGACGTTCTATGAGTATGGCATTCTCAAAAAGATGGAATCAGTAGGTCATCAAACAAAATGGAAAATATGTGACTGATTAAAGTAAATTTGTGTAGAAAAAATTGAGTTTTACTTAGCATTGAAACTACTTTCATGCAAACCCAATGTTTTACAAAACTTATTTTCATAGCTGCCAACTCTACTGGATTTTCCAGTGAACTACTGGATTTTACTAGTTTCTACTGGTTTTAAAAATAACTTAATAATTCAATGTACTTATATTAAATTTATTTTTTTTTAAAAATTTGATAGGTTTTGATACTAATTTTAATGAAAATAACTCACGTGAAACTCTAAAGAACACAGTGCCATACAATTTTTAAATCCTGAAATGGGTATTAAAGTATTTTCTTATGAAAAGCATTTCTCTTAAAGATTAACAATTTTAATTACAAATACATAGCTGCCAACTCTACTGGATTTTGCCAGTTTCTCCTAATCTACTGGTTTAATTAAAATTCTCTTGGTTCTTTTATGTTTAAGAAAATTCCCTAAAATTGAGAATGTTTCCTAAAAAAATCCCTATTGAAATAGAATTGTTGTACAGATTATTGCTTGCTTGAATATTTAACTAAGTATTACTGATACATAATGATGCGAACCCCACTTATACAAATCAGTTCAATACTTTTTTTGTTCTAAAATGTTTAGTTTATTGTTATTTAGAACTCTCTTTTTAAATTAATTAAAAAAATCTTATGACTATCTTTGATGAATTAAATGCCTATTAATATTCAAAATTATGAGTTAACATAATACATAACATTTCAAGTATGTTTAATGTCAATCATAACTGGAAAATATTGCAGTTTTTCTACTTTGGTGACTATAAAAATCCCTAGAATTTCCTATGTGTAAAATATTTGGTAAATTTTATGCAACAATTATCATGAAATTTATATTACCTCGTAAAATCTACTGGATTTTTCCTATCCATGTAGGCAGCTATTTATGGTTGTTCTGAATAGCATAACATAGCACAGCTATAGCGGTTCCATACTATTTTCAATATAATTCCAATCTTGATTTGTCTTATTTAAGCAAACATATTTCTAATATCCAATCTGAAACACTTGCATAATGATAATAAAAAGAATATTAAATGGAACTGCACTTATAATTGATGTGTAATATATTTCTAAATGTCTGAAATAAGCTTAAAAAATAAAGAAATAAGCAGTCCAGAAAAGAAAGAAAAAACACATCTTTTTGCAGAGCATTAAAACTTAAACTTTCCCTTCTGAATCATTTTCATTTTTCATCCTCTTTCAGAGGTTTTTCAAACTTGTAATCAGACACACTTCAATGCTTGCAATTCATTTTAGTTATCACACTTATTTAATACAGTTTTTTTTTTCTTACTTGTTTCTTTCACTAAAATATTTACAATTCTTCACTTTTGAATTTAAAAACTTATTATTTTCTTTTTCTCCAGGATTTGGTTATAAAGAGAAGGCTGTTGTATGGGTTCAAATCAAAGACCGCTATTGGCCAGCAGTGGTGAGTTATTATATTCATAATAATATTTTTTTTTGTTACTAGGTTGTAATTACAATGGGCCAAAACTAGGACTGGCATTACATCCATAAGAAACCTGTACTGCCAGGACACTAAAAAAAAAACAAAAGAAACTGTATAGTTTGTCTAAGCTAAGAACTCCTCTTGCCACAAAGTCTGAGACCGTCTGGTGCTATGGAAACAAGAATGGCACATTTTATGGAGGGTAGCTTCTTTCTAGGACTAAAACAATAGACCGAAGAAAGAGATTCCCTTTCTCTTGCCGATCTTAGCCGAAATCACTCCAAAACAGTGACCCGGTACCCCTACTTAAAATAATCATACCTCGTAAATAGGAACTCAACCAGATGAATGTCTGGGGGAGTTCTTATTTTAGACAAACTATATGAAATGGAAGAAAATGAAAAGTAACCAATATAATTTTACAAAAAGTATTATAAGAATAACTTAAATTTAAATAAATTACATTTAATGTAGAACTAGAAAGTTAAAAGCTTTACATATCTAAACAAAAAAATGAAATTATTGTTTCTTTATTCATTTTATTTTATTAATATATTTATTTCAGTTTTATACAGAATTCAAAATCTATACTAAAGTAGTGATTTTTAAACTATTTTCATGTTTATTTCAGAATCGGTTTGAACATTTATACTTAACAGTATTTAATTATCAAAAGTATATGTTTAGGTTGTAATTTATTAACATTGATTAAATTTGTTTATGATGTTTTTACAGACTTTTATATAGTTGTAAAATTAGTTTTACTATGCTCATTTATGTAAAATATTGAAGAGTTACCGTTATTTTAAGTTAATAAATTCATTAATTTTGTTACTCTTTTCAATTGTTTGAAAAGAAAAATTGAGTATTTGTAAAAGAGGTTGTTTGTTTGTACATTTTTTACTCTTTTTAGTCATAAATTATCAGATTCGTGTTGTTTATTAATGAACTTTAGGTATTTATGCATTAATCAATCACCTTAAAATATGTAACATGTATTTATAATTACATGATGGAAGTTGAACTTTGTCCAATATGACTATTTTGTTATTCAGCTCTACCATTTTCGTCAGACTGGGTGGTGAGAAGGAATTCAATTTGTTAATGAATAAACAATGCATTCAAAGTTATAATTTTTTTTGTATATTGTACCTGGATCTCATAAAGAATTTTCATTATAGATATGGCGATTCAGTAGGCGCAAGGCTCATGTCTTTTTAATCACTTCATCATTAACTTATGAAAAGTAAGAGATACTTATTTATAATACAGTGGAGCATCGTTTATACGACGATCACTTATACGACGTTTACATTTATACGACGTTTTAGTGTGGTCCCAAATCATTTCTATTCATTTTAATGTAGAAATATATCGTTTATACGACACACAGAATCGGTTATACGTCGGTTTTTAGATTTTGTTCACGTTTATTNTAATAATAAATTATTAGTAAGTACATTTCACTTGTTTTTTAAACTTTCTGCTGTAACCAATGAATGAACTTTTTTGAAATAAAATTAACCTAGTCCTTCTGCAAAAAAGCAGAAATTCGCTTTCTTCTCTCAATTTTTAAGATTTCCGACAATATTCCTAAAATGTACTTTTTTAAGGGTCTAATTATTATGACCCCGCCCCCTGCCATAGCTGCGGAAACCCAAGTCTCCCTAACGATAACTGTACTTGGAACAAACTTTTTTCCCTTCATTAATCTCCCGAGAAAGAATGGTATGAGGAAGGAAACGGTTGGAGCTTCGACAGGTGCACCATTGCCTTGACAACTGCAACTTCCACTGTAGAGCAGAAAGGATGTGGTTCTTGGTTGTTAAGTTCTAAGTAGTTTAATTTCAGCCGTCGATATTTGATCTGGGTGCATTATAGTTCTCTTGACTTCGTTAGTTCTTATTTTTGACTGTGCACATACAGGGGTCTGTCCAGGCTTTATTTAGTACCGTTTAGCGGTACCTTCACAAATTCAACGTTAGGAAAAACGGTAGTTTCACAAATTCAATTTTAGGAAAAACGGTAATTTCACAAAATACTTTTTCTTAAAATTTTATTTTTGTGTCTCTTAAACAATAAATCCATATTTTTGTGTTGATTTTTTAATATAATTTTTAATTTTTCACAAATTATGTCTAAATTTTCGCAAAATAGGTACCTCTCAGAAAAACCTATACAAACCCTTGACATATTATCCTTGCACATATTTGTTTTTCATTTACTTGTGTCCTTTTCACATATTGCACCATAAGATGAGTATATTTTAACTTTGTAAGTCAATTTGATAGACAAAGTACGCACGATTGATGCTGCTGAAAAAAATTTATTCAAATTTGATTGGTTAAATAAAACAGTCAAAGTGACTAGAACTGTTGGTAACTATCTATCAAAAAATATTGGGGTTAAAGTTAACAGTTTTAATTTAAAATGACTGGCAGTTAATAATAATTTAATAACGATAATTTACGGGCAATTAATTTAAAATGATGATTATCAAGCCTTATATATTGTTTAATTTTCTTCAATATAGTAGTGGTCAGAGTCGTTCACAATTACATTTAAGAAAAATTTAAATTTCACTGCCTAAATGTTTCTGCCACTTTTAATGTAAAATAAAAATTTCACAACAGAGGTAGAAGTTATGTTTTTATATATCTTATTGATATAACAATATTACATAGGACATTTTCTCCTCCCCCGCCTTAAAGCATCTGTGTTGTAGAAGTTCAGCTTTTTATTTATTTTTTTTCTCCACTTTCATGCCTGTTACCCAGAACCAAAAATTTCCCCCTTAATCGAAATGTTAACTTCAGATTCTTGTCACATGAAATAACTCTTTTTTTATAAATAACATGCTATTCTGCTGTAAGTTTGCAACTGACTGAAGTTAAGCTTATCTTTAGCCAGCACCCTCTCTGTCAATAACAATAAGTCAAAATGGAGCAAATTACAGTGTTATAAAAATAAATCTAATTTTCTTAATGTTTAAAAAGTTACTCCAACGCTGTTTTATCTGGGCTCATAAAAATGTGCAAAAATTAGGAATTAATTGTTGATGATTTTCTAAAATGTCTGATGGAGACGAACCAATGAAAATGTGTAGAGACAAGTAATATCTTTCATTTACTTGCCCTTTGGACCAGTGACTAAATTTTCCCCTGATTATAAGTGTTGTTTCCCTCGATAAGTTTTATCCTTGATTATATTTTTTTTCTCTCTGTTAGAAAGAAGCTGGCAGTTTTCCTGACAAAGACAACTTCCTGAAAGCAGTCCAGAAATGTCAATCATACCTTAATAAAGTTTGCATACGAGGTCAAAGAGGAATCAACATTAGAAATTTCTTCAAAATTCCTGAAAATGGTAAATAATTTTTTCATTTATTTGGGTTATTTGAAATTCGGCTTGTCTGAAACTCTACCAGTATTTGAAAAACAATATTTACCATTTATTTTTCAGTCTAGCTTTCATCCAGTCATTTTATAATCTGACACAACATACACTCCGGCCAAGCACCTAGCTTTGTTTTTCAGAGCTCTATCTTTTAACAGCCATGACAGGAATGCCACTCAATTTTTGGCCCGGTCAAATGTCAAAAACAGCACCCGAGCTGCTATGATTCTCTCTGAACTTCCACACCCTAACTAGCTAAAAGACTTTCAGTTACAGCAGATTTAACATATACACGCCAGTATATATGTTGAAACTGTGCGTTTGTATATACACCAGTTGTTTGATCAACTACCAGGATCAAACCCCTGGCTTTCTGCTAGAGAAGTGAGCAATGGCTTAACCGACTGCCGACTATTGTCGGAGTCTCATTTGCTACTGGAATGTCATTTGCTAGTCCTATACTTGTTTGTCTTGCATACAAAGTTTCTGTTGCAACAGTTATAGTTGTATCTTTAAAATGAAATGAGGAAATGTATCTTCATATCTCTCCATTGATTAATTAATTATTGTCATTATTACTTACTTAATTAATAATAACAGCCCATTTCATTATTTATTACTTGATATACATATGTTTATTTACATTGCATATTTTTCCATCATAGAGTGTTTCAAAATCACTGGGAATTTAATAATATATAGAAATACCAGGTTACTCGTTTTTTATTTTATTTATTTACTTTTTAATTTTCCGAATATCAAATTTGTTTCCTAGATTTCCTTGTGCAAAATAAAAATCAGACCATCCAGAATAACTTTTGATTTAATGATCGGATCTTCACGATTTAGGACCCACTCTTAATGGTTCAAAAGGGTAAGCTGGCATATGCTAATTAATTAATGCAGACGATATTTTAAATTACAGAATCAGACACAAAAACTTACTTTTTCTGAACAAACATGCCTTTTTTTCAACGGATTTGGATTTCTGACCCCAAAATATTCAAAAGGTTCTCGAGGTATGGCAAAACACGCAATAAGTAAACTTAACATTAAGAGGTTCAACCTTTGGATCGCTCTCCTGACCAAATTATGGTGGCCCTATTTCCCAGATTGCTGCTGTCCCCGAAACTTTGAAGATTAAGAATCCAACTATGTAAAAAAAAAAATTATGTTTATTTGTAGAAAGTGCCGACTGGGTGGCCGTGTGGTTAGCATGCCTGACTGCGGAGCTGGTGGTTGCGGGTTTGAAACCTGCTTAGGGCATGGATGCTTCTTTCTCTCTCTCTCTGTTCTATGTCCTTTCTCCTTTGTGTGCGTGAATGTGTCCCGCCCTATAAACGTGTGTTCTGGCATTCCTGGCCATTGGGACAATGCATCCCAAGTGTCTGCCATAAGCTAATTCAATGCAAAAATTAAATTTTAATGAATATTTATTTTATTTAATAAAAATTTTGAACTGTAAGGTATACAATTTTTTGTGTCATTTTAAGGAATATAATTTTACATGATAAATTTGAACAAAGTCAGTAGAATAGTTACTGATAAATTAAAATTTAAGAAGAAAAAAGACAACTTTTTAAAATTCGATTTCTTAGGAACTATTCAACTGATTTTATTCAAATTTTGCCATTTAAAATAATGCTCGTTAAGAGATGTTAGAAATTCTGTACCTTACAATTCAAAACTTTTTCGCCTTCAGTAAATAAAATAATAAATATTTACAGAAAGTTATTTTTTACATGGAATTATCTTTGGAAAAATGAATTTTATAATTGGGTGGAAAATTTTTCAAAGTTCTTCAGATATAGTTAAATACGCAAAATAAAAAGTAAAATTTACATTAAGGGGGTCCAAACTTAGGGGCGCTCTCCTTATCAAACAATGGGGACCCTAATTCCCAGATTGCTGTTACCCCACATATTTTGGGGGTCAGAAATCCAAATCCATTGAAAAAAGGGTATGTTTATTCAGAGAAAGTACATTACTGTGTCTGAATTTGTTGCTAAAAATGATGTCTGCATTAATTAATTAGCATACTCGAGGTTATCATACCCTCAAACCATTAAGAATTAGTCCTAGAATGTGAAGTTCCGATCATTAGATCATAAATTATTCAGGGTGGTTCCTTTTTTTAAAATTCCGCGCTGTAGATATACAAGACACACAGAATTCAAATTCTAAACTAATCATAATGCTGTCTAAAAGTTTAATATATTTCTTTCCAGTGGAATTCTCAGACAGTGATAGTGAGTGTAAAGATGATGATGTTATTATAGAGGAGCATGTTTATCTTGATTTAGATACATCTTCCGAGGAAGATTCTGCAAAAGACTATTTGAATATGTGAGTTTATCCAATTTTGTTTTTTTAGATGAAACCATCATAGATTATATAAATTATTGCATAATGGTTGAATAAATTTGCTGAAATAAAAATGCGTATCTTGACAAAAATCAAATGATTGCATGCATTTTTACTAAATAGAAAGGAAATGTGAGCAATTCCATGATACAAAAAACATGACTAACAGCATTTCTCTATTAATTTTTTTTTTAATAATTATTTTAGATAGTAGTGTTTTGATATAATAATAAAAAATTTGTTTCAGTTTTAATAGCCTGTATTTGTAACATCAGACATATAAAAATTGTATTACCAGTCAAAAGAACTTTTTCTCTGTTAGCCATTTTCTTTGTATCATTTCATGTGTAGCACTATTGTCTGGTTAATGTGGAGTTTTTTTTTTAATATTTTTTTCTTGAAAAAATATAATCCCATTATTGGTTATAAAAGAGGTAGAATTTCAAAATAAAAATATGTTTTGCTACATTTCTTTTCTATGTAACATCAGTCTCATTTTATATTTTTATCAAACATCAGTCAAACATAATTCCCCTTTTTTCTTTGATCCATAATAATAATTGGCTATTTAGAAACATCCCATTAAAATTTTTTTTAAGAAAAAAGAAATTAATATTTATCATTATAAAGAGCTTTAAAAAATAAAACTATCAAAATGTAATAACGGTCACCATGGAATTCTATTAAATTTTATCTCATATTTGTTTAAAAACAGATTTCTTTTACTTTAAAAGCTCACATAATAAACATACAGTTTCTACATACTAAAAAAGTTCTTGTTAACTACAATTTGGAAAAATGTCATCTAATTATTTCACTCGTGAAAAGTCAGTATACTCATTTAAGTAATAATTTCAAATTTGTGATACAAACACTGCACAAAGAAAACGGGGAACCTTATAAGAAAAAGAAGAAACAAGTCATTAAAACATGTTTTTTTAATGGGTCTAATAAAAGAATTGTTCCTGGCTTTCTATACATTCGTAAAAGTGTTTAAATTTTCCACAAAATTTAAAAAGTAATAAATTTAAAATGTAACTAAATGAAGAAGAAAGGTGTCACAAGAAATAAGTAAAAAAAAATCATAATAAAATTAGTTACAGAATGCTTAATTGTTTTTGAACTCAAATGATATTTTTTAAATGTAACGATAAAGATATTTAAATTTTTCTAACTTGTAAAATTAATTTTTTTTAAAAATAAATTTTTTATAGGTTTATAAACTGTGTAATATTTTCATTAATTTATTTATTTTTAAATTTAAAATTACCTTCAATTTAATTTGTTTTTTAAAGAATATGAATCCTGTCATGTGATTATTAAAAAATATGCAACTTATTGTTATTTTTAGGAAACCCAAAGAATGTGCTGAGTACATATTGCAAGGCAAACTAGATGTAAGTCTCATACTACCTAATTTATTTCAAAAATAAAAATTTTTAGTATTTCACTATTTTTATAAACTGTTTTATTTCTAATATCTTCCTTGAAAAAAAGAAATTCGATATTCCTGTGTTAATAATACTTTTCTGTTATTTTTATTATGTTATTCTGAGTTAAAGCTTGTCTCATTAATTCAATTTACAGAAAATTTGTCTTATCCTCAATCATCATTTTCCAGAGCCCTCAAAAAACTTTATTCAGTGCACTTCTGAGAAATCTTGTATTGTACAATACACACACAAAGAAAAAGAGAAAACACTGTATAAATTTTGATCTAATGATTGAATTATCACATACTTGTTGTGATGTCATAATAGGCATTACATATTTCTTAGCTTTTAAAATTTCTTTGATTTCCTAAATTCATTTTTTTAAAAATCATTCTTAATCAAATTTTAATAGACTTAAACCAATTATTTAACTTTTACACCCCTTTATATTTATATATGATGAATTAACCTAGTGTTTTGAAAACACATATGTAATTGATTTAATTCTTTTATGATTATTGATAAAAAAAATAACTGAGGGAAAAAAAACTGGTACCAGACTCTAGCATTTGAATAAAACTTGTAAATTAATCTTGTTTAACTTATTGAACTATCTAACTCTAATATTTACTGGTATTTAGACATTACTCCCATAATTAAAATGCTCTTTATTAAAATGTACTTTGTTAATGGCCTACACATGGTAAGCATTAATCTTAAGACAAAAAGACAGAGAATAATACAATTTTAGGCTGAAAGCTGAAGGAAAAAACCTATTCATAATTGACAATAGCAATATGTAGCCATTGTAAATAAAGTTCTAGCTTCTATATTATAATAATTCTATTGTAACATGGTTAAAGTTTTTGAAAAATACTCTTTACTTAAAAAATTTTGTTTCCAATTTTGTCTTTCTCGATATCATATTTGTTGTTCAATTTTTTACAAAAGTTTCAGTTCAAATATTTATAGTTTTTTATTACTATGATTTCTGTATAAATTAGTTTCAGTTTTTAATTACAATATTATATTGTTAATGTATGACTAATATGACTGATTCTTAATAAGCCATGTTTTGTTGAAACTTCCTATTTTCTTACAAAATATTGATTTTATGTACTTGAATGTTATAAAACCTGCATGATAAACCTTTGCTTGATAAAATTTTGTCTTTTGCATAATTTAATGCTTGACACATTTTTTGTCAAAATGTAAGTTTCATTGCTTATTAAATTATGTGTGTGTGTGTATATATATATATATATATATATATATATATACACACACA